AAAAAAAAAAAAAAAAAAAAAAAAAAAACACACACACACACACACACACACACTGTCGAAAATCGAAAGATTCTGAAATTTGAATGTACTCCTTAGTCAGTATCATTTTTTCTAAATACCAGTCGTTATAGACAAAAACCGGTACAGTACTTCCGATGGCCTGGATGAAATCTGAACGGATTACACTGGGTCATCGTTTGATTGATTCCGAACTGTTACTCGATGTAAGTTCAGTTGTTTCAGTTTTCTATGATCTCATTTAACCAATAATAGAGTGTATAAGTATATATTTAAGTCCTCGATACAGGACCACAAGTGAAGAGTAAAACAATGTTTTTCGTCTCTCACCTATATTTCGACCGTGAAAACGGCCTTCGTCAGGGTGAATGGCCGTTACAAGCATTACACACCATTATTACATGATAACGAACAATTTGAAAATTTGTACGCGCTCCAAAGGGCGAGACCTGGTCTCCCTATTCTGGCTATGAAAAAAATCACTTATATTCAAGCCCTGAGGCTGAATACAGTCCAACCTATAGGCCCACGGACCTTCTTCTTGGTTTGAAGTCCTCGATAAATATAGGTGTGTACATATTCAATATATTTTTGTTGTGATTATATTGGCACAGGATCACTCAATCCATTTCAAATTGATAAATGCTTTGGTCAGTTCCATGATGAATGATAAGAAAAGGAAAGAAAAGTTTGCTTTTGGTGGTTTGGAAAACAAGCGAAATGCCCCCTTCAGAATGACCTGTTCAAAGCATAGTCTGACAAGCCGCAGACCCAAAATCCCTTCTACTCCCATGCTTAGTTGACAGAAGTGAATTGTAAGATGTAGTGGCGCTAAAAGCTTCAGCTCTGGTAGTCGACAAACGCTCACTTCCATTGAAATTCCCTCTGCTCAAACGATTGTAGACTTGGTGCTTAAATCCTTCACGGAAACTCTCGTTGAAGACCAGATATAGACACGGGTTGATGGCTGCATTAGAGTGAGTCAAGAAGTAAAATGTTAGGATCAATGAAGGAGGCAGACAACTGTGGACCTTCAAGTTAAAAATCAGCAGGAAGTGATTGACGTGCGCTGGAAGCCAGCAAATGGCAAAAAGTGTCACTATGGTGACAAGCATACACTGGTGGAATGCAAAGACGAAGAGCTATGCGAAAACTAAAAACAGCTACACGTGAGGTCCACGGAAGGAAAAGGTGTTTACGTCGTGTTAAAACCTTATTTTGTACCGGTATCAATCCAGCGGAACCAGGTATAACAACACGAACCGAATGACCTTCTCGAACATGATAATCTTGTGCGAGTCGTGGATATTCTCAACCCACCTAGGTGCGCATATGACTTGACCGGAATCGTTGAAGAGCCTGAATTTGTAAAGCTCAGTTGCAAAAATGGCGCCTGAAATGAGCCACGTCAAGATAATTGCTACCATGGTCAACTGTTTGGACAGCGGTCTTCTCATCGGGCGAACAATGGCAAAATATCGGTCAATAGTCATTACGGTCAACGTCAGGACAGAGGCCCCCATGGAGAGATATGCCAGGAATGGTAGCAGCTTACAAAGAAATACACCAAATCCTCCAGGAAACCACTTGACACTCACAAACAAGTACGCCACAGAGAGCGGCACGGCAGTGATGACGTCAAGAATATCAGACGCCGCCATATTGACAATGAGCATGTTAAACGTTGTTCTGAGCTTTGGGTGGCGCTGAACCACATAAATGATTATCGAGTTGCCAAGCAATGCCGCAAAGAAAAGAACGAAATATGCAATGGTTAAACCAACTGTGGTGGATTGTGTAACAGGTTGATTCCGACAAAGACCGGCCGAGTGATCAGAGCCA